TTTTCATTTCTTCTTTCTGATGCTTGGCTAAACTAGGCTGATTCAGGCCGATCTCAATGAGAGTGGCACGACCAGGGCCAAATGATCTTCATCACCCACGTCAATCAGTACAAGGGTGAGGTGAGTATCTGTAATTTTTAACCTGAGTCACATCATTCCGCGATTTGTTATATACTATTGAACCCATACCAAAAGGATTCAACCGCTCACGAATATCATGAGCATGTGTGGGATTCCCCTTGTTCCGGTTATAAAACAAACGTTTCTCAAAAACAAGCTCCCAATATGAACTGGTGTGGTTCTCACACACGAATATGAATGGATTGGTGCGAAATTCATCTACAGCAGAAGAAAATAATTGTCGAAAATTTTAATCATGGGTTTGCTTACTTCATTCAGTCAGCGCTTAGGCAATGAGGTAGTGAGCGTTAAGAGGAGAGCATGGGGTGAGAGATGCAATAGATGAGAGGGTGCCAGGCAACAGCCTGCGCGGACGGTGAAAAGTGAAGCAGTTGAAGCTATCTTTGCAATTCCTAGCACTCTCATCGGGTGGTTTCCATGCACGGGAGTGCCACATCTGTATTGGTACTCTAGAGTTTATCCTGCAGACCGAAGGAAATCGTTCACACGACTTTGCCGAGATTGTGCCCTTAAATATTCTATGAAGTGATTAATCGTTTCGCAACTGCGCGCTCAATTTCTTCACATTTACCACCACAGAATTCTCTGCATCTCGAGTACATACGAATGTATGTTTCTTTGGAATGGGTTGAGCGCCCATCACGACTGTCTTCAATTCGTGGGCGCTCGCTCAATGGTCGCGTGGTGTCTACTACAAACTTACCTTTCGGATGAATTTAAGGTAATAACGGAATTTCCGATATTTTCTCCAATCCAACAACCCAACACAAGGTGTGCGTGAAAACTGCCTGAATCTACTTCCAAACCAAGCGGCTTTTCACCGTTTTGGTGCCACGGTTCTCCCGTATGACTACTTCCTTGGACTCAGTGTTGTGCACTCAAACATCATTACAGCTTCGCATGAGATTAGAAGGCATGGCGCGTTCCAAAAAAACGCGTCCCAGCGAAACAACTTCTGT